CATCAACACCACCATCATCAGCTGCTGCTGCAGCAGCAGCAGCACAACAACAACAGCTCCGGCGACACCACCGCCACATCATCACCAACACTCCTGCTCCTGCTCCCCCCGCTCCTCTCCTCCTCCTCCTCCCCCCCCCCCCTCCTCCTCCTCCTCCTCCTCCTCCCCCCTCCTCCTCCTCCTCCTCCTCCTCCTCCTCCTCCTCCTCCTCCTCCTTTTCCTCCTCCTCATGGCTGTGCAGGATACGCCTCATTCGGACGCATTGCTGGTATGAGTCGTTGAGAACATGGAGGAGGGAGAGGAGGAGGAGGAGGAGGAGAGGGATAAAGTGACGGGGAGAGGAGAACGAGGGGGAGGAAGGAGGTGGAGGGGAGAGAGGAGGAGAAAAGGAGCGGAGGGAGGAGCAAGAGGAATGCAGGTGATGGTCCCTTGCAGGCGTCGCCTCCACTGTTGCTGGTCTCTTGCAGCTCACGCAGACGCAGCTGGTCAAGTACGTGGAGGATCCAGGTGGGCAGGAGGAGGAGGAGGAGGAGGAGCATTGAAGAAGGAGAGGAGGAGGGAAAGGGGGAGGAGGAGGGAGTGATGAAGGAGGAGGAGGAGGAAGAGGAGGAGGAACTGAGCTGGTATGTTTGCAGCTACTCCGCTTGACTGGCAGAAGCTCGACCTGATGCTGTTCTAGGAATGGTGATACCTCAGAGGGCCTAAAGAGCAGGACAGAACACTCTATTTAGCCGAATCAATCAACCACCCACCCTCCTCCTCCCACCTCCTTCTCCTCCTCCTCCTTCCTCTCCTCTCGTCCTCCTTCCTCCTCCTCCTCCTCCTCCTCTTTCTCTCTCCTCCTCTTCTCATCCTCCCCTGTTCGTCTTTCATCTCCTCTGCCTCCTCATCCCTCTCCTCCTCTCACTCTGCTCGGACAGGGAGATGGACCTGTTCGTCCCTCGTCGAGACCCATGGTGAGACTGTTCGCGTGGAGGAGGAGGGAGAGGAGATGGGAAGAGAAGGAGGGAGAGAAGGAGGAGGATGGGAAATCCTCTCAGTCTGACGCTGCATCTGCAGTTGCTTCCCACTGCAGAGGACGACGAGATCGGAGCTCCAGTGCCCATGCACTACTCGGAGGTGAGGGAGGGAAGGAGAGAGAGATGTCAAGGAGGAGCAGAGGGAGGAGGAGGAGAGTGGAGGGGTTGAAAGATTTGCAGGCATCCAGTTACGGAAGTCAGAGCGCCAGTTCATTCGCCGCGCTCTACTCCAAGTATGTCACCGACGACGTCAAGGTCGACCTGATACCTCCTCCTCCCCTTCTCCTCCACCACTC